TGAATCCCACATTCTCAATGAGGGCATGCCTCTTTTTTATAACTTAATTGATCATTTTATGTTATCTCCGTAAGTAATTATTTGTATTCATTGATTTTTTTCTTTTGGATATTAGTCCTACAGGTATTTTATATATGGTGCAAATAGTTCACCATATTTGACGCTCATCCACTGAGTTTCCTTTTGGGGTGTGTGTATGATAGCTGTGTTTTGTTTACTCTTGTTTCATATAGCAAGTTGATCAATCTTTTGTTCTATGTTTGTCCTGCTTAAGAAGTTCTCTCTTATTGCAAATTATGACAATACTCCTTTATATCTTTTGAAAATTTTTAGTCTGCGTATTACAGGTGGTAATGGTTTGACATAATTTTTCAACTTTATGATGGTGCAAGAGTGAAATGCACTCAGTAGAAAATGCTTTGAGTTTTTTTCCTGGGTCAGAAATATGTGACCTGCTCTTGTATCCAACTGGGCAGTATCAGTGAACTGCAAATCCCAGACAGCCCAATGGTCACAGGGGGAAACAAGCAATATTCTGCAGTGTGCCATGTCACTAAGCTAATGTCCTGTAGCATCAATGTATCTGATGTATTTTAGACTTACGATATTTTCAACTTACGATGGGTTTATCAGGAGGTAAGAGGAGTGGCTTCTGTGCTAGTAGGCTGAATACAGAACCTTGGATTAGGGGGCTGATGGACAGACACATCAGGCCTGACCCAAAACTGTGCTCCCCAGTCTGGCACCATTGCCATTCATTCCTAAATTTCCCATTTCTGCTGATATGTGCCCAAGTCTTGAAATTATTTTAATGTGTAAGCATTATCTTCCCTACTCAGACTTTTGACTTCTCCTCCTGAACAGATGGTAGGGGCTGCTCTAGACACCAGGGGTGGGGGATAGCACTCGCCTCCTTAAAACTCAGGAATCTTTTTAAGGCCACTGCAGTGAGCTCTTTTATTTTCTGACAATGTCTCAATTTGATTTTTTTTTTTTTTGGTGGCACTGGGTTAGAACTCAGGACCTCTCACTTGCTAGGCAGGTACACTACCTCTTGAGTTACACCCCCCAGCCCTTTTTGCTTAATTTTTTGAGGTAAGTTTTCGCTTTTGTCCAAGCCCAGCTGTTTTTGGTTGGGATGGGAGCTCACTAAGTTTTTGCAGGGGCTGGCCTTGAACTGTGATCTTCCCAATCTTCACTGCCTGAGTAGCTCGGATTACAGGCTTGAGCCACCACGTGCAGACTCAATCTGATATTTTAAAACATGACAGTTTTTATTTTCTTTTTATAATTTCTTCAATGGAGTCAGAAGCAGCAAGCCCTATCCCAGAGTTTTTGTGGTCACAATTCCCACAGTAGTAATCAAATTCAAGATCACTTAGTTCCCCAAAGTTTGGCTCTGTTAAGACGCTCCATATCAGGTAATCACAGCTAATAATTTATGTTGTGTTCTTCCACCCCACACCCAGGATCTAGTCAATAGTGAGGCTTCCCCAGGCTTGTCCTGGTTTTCACTTACGCTAAGGTCATCTGTGAGTTTAATCTTAATTGCATCAATACCAGATTCCTAGCTGTACACCAGTAATCAACAAGGCAAAGAGGATGAGGCAGATAGAATTAGGGAACATTCCAGACTTTTAAAGCTGTATAGCTTAATTTAAAGCACCTCACATTAGACTCCCTCTTCATTCCCTCTGAGCCCAGACAGCTTCTTTTCAATTGCAAATTCTTTGTTAAACTAGAAAGAATGGAAATTTCCTTCTGCATGGATTTAGGGTACCTGAAAATTAGCATAGGTGTATGCATGAGTCTGCCCAAATTTCTGCCTCCCCCCAATCCCCTACCCCCTTGAAGTCCATTGGAGATGACAGGGAGTGACACAGGTTTCTCCCCACCTCCAAGTTCAGTATGGTATAAAACCAAAAATCTCTCGTGTTCCTCACAGGACTCGTCCATTCTGCCTGGCAGAGTCCACACCTGTAATCTCCTCCCCTTCACTGTAACGAGCTCCACCATTTCCTTCACTGCATCCAAGTGTTCTGCTTGCTTCTTCCAAACCAGAATGTAAGAACTGGAAATCCTCTGACTGACTACAACGCTTCCTGTGTCCACCCACGGCACCAGGTGGAGTATTAACCGGTGAGTAAAGAGCAAATGCACCATGGAAGCAATTTAATGCAGACTCTTGTTTACAAAACAGTTGGAAGAGACGAAGGGAGAAAGGTCCTGGAGTGAGAAGAGGATGCTCACACCAAGTCCAGGAGTGGCAGCTGCTCCTGGCTGGAGGCCAAGGACCTGTTGTTCTGTGATGTTGATAGAGGCAACTCCGCTGCCACAGCTGCACTGCTGAACCAGTGCCACTGACAGGGACAGGACCTCTGCCCGTCCGGCAGCTGCCCAGGACACCTTCACATCACAAGGAAATTGGCTTCTGGTTTGCTCCTGTCTTTCTACCTTTGGTTCGAGCTACCATGACAGAACCTTAGAGAAAGCCAAGTGGTAAAGCGCCTGGGGAATTCAGTTACAGGTTTTCAACAGCCTGAGGCTACAGAAGCGAGTGGAGAAGCCCAGCTGTGTACTCTCTCGACTGGCTTGGGATGGTTTCAGTGTGTCCCCTGTTTCGTGCGTGGAAGCTTGATCCCCAGTGTGGTGATATGGAAAGAGATGGGCCCTTTAAGGGGTGGGGTCTAATGGGAAGTGGTTGGGTCATGGGGGTTGTTACCCTGGAAGGAACTGGTGTAGTTCCTGTGGAACCCTGGCTGGTTCTCACGAAAGCATAATTATGTAGGAGCAAGACTGCTCCCTTGCATCACATCATCTCTCCTTCTCACATGGTGCCATCTGCATCATGTGATGCAGTGTTGTGCTGTGTGGGCTTTCAGCCTCCCAAAGTGTGAGCTAACACAAGCCTCTCTTCTTTATAAAGTACCCAATCTCAGATGCTTTCTTATAGCAATGGAAAATGGAATAATACACTACTATTAGAAGATGAGTTTCTTTAAAATGCAGGAGAAAACCAAAAAAGGATGGCTTAGGATCCAGAGATGGGAAATCCATCACAAGAAAGAGGTGATGAATGTGCTCAAGGAGAGCACAAGAGATCCAGCAGATGGGGGTGTGACTGCTCTAGGTGGGTATCTCTCAGGGAAACAGGAAAGAAAAGAAAGCAGTGTGTGATGTGTCTGAATACATTGAGGTCAGATTTATTGTTCTGTCAGAGAGTTTTTTGGGGAAAATTGATGATGAATAAATAGAAAATGAAGCAATTAAAAAAACAAGATTCAAGAAAAGCAAGTGGTCATGAAAAAAAGGCAACATAATCAGAAGACAGTGGCTCAGCTGTTAAAAGTGGTTACGTAACTGTATTGATGACAATGCTGTCATTTAATAAAAACGTGAATGCAAAGTGTGAAGGGAAGAGAGAAGCTGTGTTGGGATGAGTGGAGAGGCAAAGACCAAATGTTCATCTTTTACATTAAGTCAGCAGATAATATTTAAATGAAAATCAAATATTGCCAACATAGAATGTTGTTGAGGTGTGTGGAGATAAATTTCAGGGGAAAACATAGCTGAAGTAGTTGGAAATTTTCTCTGAAGGGTAAGTAGAGGTGGAGTATGGCAAAGAACATTTGTTTTCATTATAGGATTATAGCATTTAGCTTTTTTATTTTTTAATACTTTATTTTATTATTGCTATACTGGAGTTACATTTGCAAAATTTCTTACAATTTATCATATTTTAATTCACCCCTCCATCATCCTCCTTTATCCACCCCCCATTCCTGGAATAGTTTCAACAGGTCTTGTTTTTCTATTTTCCTACATGAATACATAATATTTCCACCACATTTACCTCCTACCCCCTTTCCTTATATCCTCCCCCCTCCCACTGGTACCAACCCCCAGACAGGACCTGATTACCTTCCTGTTCTGTTTTTCTAAAAAAAAAAAATGACATTTTTGTTTGTTTAAGGTACATGTACAGGGAGTTTCCTTGTGACATTTCCATGTATATCTGTATTATAACCTGAATTGGTTCATACTCTTTATTTTTCTCCTTTCTACCTTAGTCCCCTTCTTATGATGATTTCAACAGGTTTAAAAATTCTACAGTTATTCTTGTATAGGAAGTAAAAAATGGAATGCTTCATGACCTTGTGCAGGGGCTGTGCTAATCTTCTCTATATCATTCTAATTTTAGTTTATGTGCTGCCCAAGTGAGCACAGCATTTAGCTTTTAAAAAACGATCTTACTATGTTACTTTGGTAAAATAATAATATAATTTTTAAGACACATGAATTTTGAGAAAAAAGTTACCAGACTGAAAATGATCATCAATGGTTTAATAATGCCAGCAACATTCCTCACCAAAGTCTCCTGTAGACTTTATAGGAAGCACACACTTGTAGTTACCCCGTGTGAATGTGGGAGGACTTAGGGATGTGTCAAGTTATATCTGATTCTATCATTTGAGGTTCCCTGCAAATCCAACCCAGATAAAAATCAATGTAATTAATTTTTTTTTCATTGGAAAAGGTGAGGCAAAGGCCCCATTCAAAGTTCTTGACATATATTCTGGACAACTTGAAAGTTCTTTGGGTGTTTTATGTCTTTAAGAAAATAGACTCTCTTTACTGTTTTTCAAATCTTTGCTATCTGGTTTCCTTGGCTCACAGCTCCCCTGTGAATTTGGTTGGATGTCATTGTGGAGAAAAGAATCAAATAAAGAAATACAAAAATAGAGAAAGTTTCAGCAAACCAGTGGCCATATCCTGGGAGTGCTGAGAACAGAAGGAGCTGGAAGTTCTTGGCAGGTCTGGACCAAAGGTGATTTTTTATCCTGTACCACAACAAACTCCTCTGGCTATAGCTCCAGGATGACAGAGCTCAAAGGTGAGCAGGGGTGGATGCATGGGCTTTGTGATGAGTGAAGATTTCTCTGCTTCTGGACTTGGCATGAACAAAGCAAGGCCACAGCAGTCATGGTTGGTCTCACTCTCTAGGTTAGTGGATGGTCTGGTTTCTTAACTTGGAGGTAAATCATCTTTTCTTTATTTTTTCTTGTTCTGCAATAGGAAATAAAATTAGAGATGGGAGGAAGAAATTATGAGGAAGCTGAAAAAACAAATAAAGTACATAATAAGTGAATGAAACAGAAAATTGGTATAGATTTTGTCCAAGATTAGTCTTATAGTGTGTTATGAATGGTGATTTTCATAATGGATAGAGTTTAGTCAACTATTAGGATGGAGTGTTTCTAAAACTCTTTTCTACAAGTGGAACTTGCCTCAAATAAATTCCCTTCTTAAGTATTTCACCCTCTTCTGTAATAGAGAATGTGAGTAAAGGCTAAATATAACATTATATCAATTAAATATCATTGTAAAATCCAGGCATTGTCATCAGTTCTCAAATAGAAATTGGGAATTTTTTTAAACTAACGTTCATTTGCTTTTCAACAAAAAAGTGAGTGAAGAATGCAATACTACATTTACTCAGACTGCACGTCTTCTCGAGCATCTGTCTCTATGAATGGTAGGATGCTGCTGGTACTTGTTGGAGGAGTGCTGTTGTCTTTGCTGTGTTGTTCCCAGACCTGCCCTTTGCACTTGCTCCTGCTTCTGTTGAATCAGGTGTGGGCTGCCCCAACCCCCCAACTCCTCACACAATCATCCCACCTGGACAGAGTTGGTCCTGTCTCCATTTCTGGCCCAGGCCAATCTGAGATGGGGTTAGCAGAAGCCCAGCAAATAACTCAGCATTGTTGTAGTCTTCTCTGGGGCCAGGTGGAGGGACAATCAAATCTGCTGAGCTCCCAGAGCCTCTACACCCAACAACAGCATAGCAGCAGTGTCACCATCAACAGCAGCAGTGTCACCAGCAGCAACAGCAACAACAGCCACAATAGCAGCATCAGGAACAACAGTAACATCAACAGCATTAATGACAATCACGGCATCAACTACAGCAGAAGCCGCTATGGTAGCATCAGAAAAAACACCAGCAACAATGTGACCAGCAGCATTAGCAAATGCAGCACCAACCTCAACAGCAACAGCTGTATTAAAAAAAGCAGCAGAAACAGTAGTGTCACCAAAAACAGCAAAAGCAGCAGCTACAACAGCAGTGTCAACAATAGCAGCAGTCATCTCAGCCGTACCAACAATCGGAGAAGTAGCAACAGCAGCAGCAGCAACAATAGCAATAACACCCCCAGCAGCAACAGGAGTAACACTCTCAACAGCAATGGCAGTAGTAACACCAACAGTAGCAACAGCAGTGACACCAGTAACAACACCAGTGACACCACCAGCAGGAACAGCAGCAGCATCACCAGTAACAATACCACTAGCAGCAACAGCAGCAGCAACACCACCAGCAGTATCATCATCAGCAACAGCAGTAACACCAATAGTAGCAGTAACACTACCATCAGCAGCAACATCAGTAATACCACCATCAGCAACAACAGTAACACCAGCATCAGCAACAACAGCAGCAACACTACCAGCAGCAGTAACACCACCAGCAGGAACAGCAGCAATATCACCAGCAGCAACACTACTGGCAGCAACAGCAGCAGTAACACCACTGGAAGCAACAGTAGCAGGAACTGCAGTAACACCAATTGTAGCAGTAACACCAGCATCAGCAACAACAGCAGCAACACTACCAGCAGCAGTAGCACCACCAGCAGGAACAGCAGCAATATCACCAGCAGCAACACTACTGGCAGCAACAGCAGCAGTAACACCACTGGAAGCAACAGTAGCAGGAACTGCAGTAACACCAATTGTAGCAGTAACACCACCATCAGCAACAACAACACCAGTGACACCACCAGCAGGAACAGCAGCAACATCACCAGTAGCAACACCACTGGCAGCAACAGCGGCAGCAACACCACCAGCAGTATCATCATCAGCAGAAGCAGCAGTAACACCAATAGTAGCAGTAACACTACCACCATCAGCAACACCAGTAATACCACCATCAGCAACACCAGTAACACCAGCATCAGCAACAACAGCAGCAACACTACCAGCAGCAGTAACACCACCAGCAGGAACAGCAGCATCAACAGCAGCAGCAGCAGCAGCAGCAGCAGTAACACCACCAACAGCAACAACAGTGGCAATATCACCAGTAGTAACAACAGTACCACCATCAGCAGCAACAGCAGTGACACCACCAGCAGGAACATCAGTAACACCACCAGCAACAACACTAGCAACAGCAGCACCACCACCAGCAGCAATAGCAGCAATAACACCATCAACAGCAACACCAGCAACACCACCAGCAGCAAAAACAGCAGCACTGACACCACCAGCAGGAACTTCAGCAACACCACTGGCAACAATTGCAGCAGTAACACCACCAGCAGTATCAGCAGCAGCAACAGCAGTAACACCAATAGTAGCAGTAACACTACCACCATCAGCAACACCAGTAATACCACCATCAGCAACAACAGTAACACCAGCATCAGCAACAACAGCAGCAACACCACCAGCAGCACTGACACCACCAGCAGGAACAGCAGCAACAATAGCAGCAGCAGCAGCAGCAGTAACACCACCAACAGCAACAACAGTGGCAATATCACCAGTAGTAACCACAGTACCACCACCAGCAGCAACCACAGCAGCAACACCACCAGCAGCAATAGCAGCAATAACACCATCAATAGCAACACCAGTAACACCACCAGCAGCAAAAACAGCAGCACTGACACCACCAGCAGGAACTTCAGCAACACCACTGGCAACAATTGCAGCAGTAACACCACCAGCAGTATCAGCAGCAGCAACAGCAGTAACACCAATAGTAGCAGTAACACTACCACCATCAGCAACACCAGTAATACCACCATCAGCAACAACAGTAACACCAGCATCAGCAACAACAGCAGCAACACCACCAGCAGCACTGACACCACCAGCAGGAACAGCAGCAACAACAGCAGCAGCAGCAGCAGCAGTAACACCACCAACAGCAACAACAGTGGCAATATCACCAGTAGTAACCACAGTACCACCACCAGCAGCAACCACAGCAGCAACACCACCAGCAGCAATAGCAGCAATAACACCATCAATAGCAACACCAGTAACACCACCAGCAGCAAAAACAGCAGCACTGACACCACCAGCAGGAACTTCAGGAACACCACTGGCAACAATTGCAGCAGTAACACCACGAGCAGTATCAGTAGCAGCAACAGCAGTAACACCAATAGTAGCAGTAACACTACCATCAGCAGCAACATCAGTAATACCACCATCAGCAACAACAGTAACACCAGCATCAGCAACAACAGCAGTAGCACCACCAGCAGGAACAGCAGCAATATCACCAACAGCAACACTACTGGCAGCAACAGCAGCAGTAACACCACTGGAAGCAACAGTAGCAGGAACTGCAGTAACACCAATTGTAGCAGTAACACCAGCATCAGCAACAACAGCAGCAACACTACCAGCAGCAGTAGCACCACCAGCAGGAACAGCAGCAATATCACCAGCAGCAACACTACTGGCAGCAACAGCAGCAGTAACACCACTGGAAGCAACAGTAGCAGGAACTGCAGTAACACCAATTGTAGCAGTAACACCACCATCAGCAACAACAACACCAGTGACACCACCAGCAGGAACAGCAGCAACATCACCAGTAGCAACACCACTGGCAGCAACAGCGGCAGCAACACCACCAGCAGTATCATCATCAGCAGAAGCAGCAGTAACACCAATAGTAGCAGTAACACTACCACCATCAGCAACACCAGTAATACCACCATCAGCAACACCAGTAACACCAGCATCAGCAACAACAGCAGCAACACCACCAGCAGCACTGACACCACCAGCAGGAACAGCAGCAACAATAGCAGCAGCAGCAGCAGCAGTAACACCACCAACAGCAACAACAGTGGCAATATCACCAGTAGTAACAACAGTACCACCATCAGCAGCAACAGCAGTGACACCACCAGCAGGAACATCAGTAACACCACCAGCAACAACACTAGTAACAGCAGCACCACCACCAGCAGCAATAGCAGCAATAACACCATCAACAGCAACACCAGCAACACCACCAGCAGCAAAAACAGCAGCACTGACACCACCAGCAGGAACTTCAGCAACACCACTGGCAACAATTGCAGCAGTAACACCACCAGCAGTATCAGCAGCAGCAACAGCAGTAACACCAATAGTAGCAGTAACACTACCACCATCAGCAACACCAGTAATACCACCATCAGCAACAACAGTAACACCAGCATCAGCAACAACAGCAGCAACACCACCAGCAGCACTGACACCACCAGCAGGAACAGCAGCAACAACAGCAGCAGCAGCAGCAGCAGCAGCAGTAACACCACCAACAGCAACAACAGTGGCAATATCACCAGTAGTAACCAACAGTATCACCATCAGCAGCAACAGCAGTGACACCACCAGCAGGAACAGCATCAACACCACCAGCAGCAATAACATCAGTAACATCACCAACAGCAACAACAGTGGCAATACCACCAGTAGTAACCACAGTACCACCACCAGCAGCAACCACAGCAGCAACACCACCAGCAGCAATAGCAGCAATAACACCATCAATAGCAACACCAGTAACACCACCAGCAGCAAAAACAGCAGCACTGACACCACCAGCAGGAACTTCAGCAACACCACTGGCAACAATTGCAGCAGTAACACCACGAGCAGTATCAGCAGCAGCAACAGCAGTAACACCAATAGTAGCAGTAACACTACCATCAGCAGCAACATCAGTAATACCACCATCAGCAACAACAGTAACACCAGCATCAGCAACAACAGCAGTAGCACCACCAGCAGGAACAGCAGCAATATCACCAACAGCAACACTACTGGCAGCAACAGCAGCAGTAACACCACTGGAAGCAACAGTAGCAGGAACTGCAGTAACACCAATTGTAGCAGTAACACCACCATCAGCAACAACAACACCAGTGACACCACCAGCAGGAACAGCAGCAACATCACCAGTAGCAACACCACTGGCAGCAACAGCGGCAGCAACACCACCAGCAGTATCATCATCAGCAGAAGCAGCAGTAACACCAATAGTAGCTGTAACACTACCACCATCAGCAACACCAGTAATACCACCATCAGCAACAACAGTAACACCAGCATCAGCAACAACAGCAGCAACACTACCAGCAGCAGTAACATCACCAGCAGGAACAGCAGCAACACCACCAGAAGCAACAGCAGTAACACCACCAGCAGCAACAACATCAGTAACACCACCAACAGCAACAACATTGGCAATACCACCAGTGGTAACAACAGTACCACCACCAGCAGCAACCACAGCAGCAACACCACCAGCAGCAACAGCACTGACACCCCCAGCAGGAACAGCAGCAGCAACACCAATAGTAGCAGTTACAACACCAGCAGCAACAATGGCAATAATACTAACAGCAACAGCAGCAGTAACACCAACATTAGCGACAACAGCAGTAACACTACAATCAGGAACAGCAGCAGTAACACTCCCAGCAACAACCGTGTCATGACTAGCAGCAACAGTAGTAACACCACCAGCAGCAAAGGCAGCAGCACCACCAGCAGTAACGTCACCAGCATCGATAGTAACACAACTAGCAGAAACAACAGTAACGCCACCAGTGGCAACACCCACCAGCAACAACAATAACACCTCCAGCAGCAACAATAGCAGCAACACCACCGGCAACAGTAGTAGTAACACCCTCAACAGCAATGGCAGTAGTAACACCAACAGCAACAACAGCAACAACAGCATCAGTATCACAGCAGTGACAGCAGTGACACCACCAGCAGCAGCAATGGCAGCAGCAACAGCAGCAACAACAGGAACACTACCAGCAGCAATAGCAGAAACGACACAATCAGAAGCAGCAGCAGTGACACCACCAGCAGCCACAGAAGTAACACCAGCACAGCAGCATAACTTCAGCAATGGTAAAATAGCTAGACTAGAAGTATCAGTAGGACGAGCAGTGACACTGACTGCAGCCGGAGGGCTGTATCAACAGCAGCAACAGCTACAGCAGCCACTCGGACACTACAGTAAGTAAACATCAGTAAGTTCAGCAACTCCAACAAAACAGCTACAGCAGCAGCAGCAGCAAGAGCCACAGCAGTGTTGCAGAGTGACATCCTGCCCGTTGCTTTGCTGCCTGGTCCCGTGTGTGTGCCCAGCTGTCTGAGGGCGAGAGAGTGCATGGGCCTTGGATGTGGCTGGCAGGATGGGCACCTTGGCTTTGTCACTTTGACTGTGTGACTCTGCACAAGTCCGTCTCTGTGAACCTGGTTGCTTTCAGGTGTCAGTGGGCTTGCTAAGAAGTTCTGTCTCGTTGGTTGTTGGAGGGAACGCACATGTGGAAAGCAGCAGTCAGGCCCTTAGCAAACATTAGCTGTCGTTCTCTCATTTTACAGAAACAGAACCAGGCGTGCGAGATGGGACAAGGTGTGCATTGGTAGGTCTGGCAGGCTTACTCGTAACTTGGGTGTGTCCAGTGTCCGTGGGAACCCTAGGCTTTGGGTGGTGGGGGAGGGGCTCCTGCCCTGCCCTGTTCTGTGCGTCAGGGACACTGTACCAGGGCTCCACTTTCTGTGCCAGCTGGTATCTGCCCTGGTGCTCCTGGATACCTTTGCATCTGCCTTTCTGCATGGGCCTTGCCCTGGCCATCTCAGCAGGTCTACCCCTATAACTTCCCAAGCCTCACACAGACCCTCCTTCTACCTGTGACAGGCAGACTGGTTACAGGACACAGAAACAAGCAAATTGCAAGTTGTCCTGGAAGTACCTGCAGGTCACACAGTAGAACATACAATCACAACAGGCGTACTCTTTGGAAATGCCTCCTCAGCCTGCTCGAACAACTTGGTGAATTCTGAAAACTCCAGGTGTAGGTGTGTGTGTGTCACTGAGCTGCACTTCTGCCCAAAACGGCTCAAACAGATTTAAAATCTGATTTCTAATGTTTTATAGAACAGCTACGAAAGCTTCTCTGAATCGTAACAGTGACTCTGGGGCATCTGTAAGTACTCCACACTTCACACGTGTGGTCTCATTTGTGGTCACAGAAATCCAATAAACTGTGTGGTATGCATCCCCATTTACAGATGGAGAGACTGAGGCTTTCGGGCACCATGCCTGCATGGAGGGGAGACATTGTCTGTCCCGTCTGTCAGATTTTATGGTCTGTGCTCCTCCCCACCTGTGTCTGACACTGACTCTGGCTGAGAAAAACCTGGAAAAATAATTGAAGTACTTATTCTGCAAATACTTGAAGAGCTCCTGCCCTGTGTGTGCCAGGCACTGTGCTCTGCTCTAGGGACGCAGCAGGACGCATGGCATAGTCTCCGTCCTCAAGGGGACCTGGCCTAGATTAAAAGTTCAAACTCAGATGTTCATATGAGCCAGGCAGATGATGGCAGTGTACCAGGCAGGATAAGATGGAGCGGAGGAGATGGTGGTCCACCCCAGAGGGCACGCCCTTCACAGAGCAGAGCCACCACCCAGCGCCCACAAATTGTCAACAAGGGAATGTGCCTGCTCAGTGTCCCCAAATCTGATTTTGTAACCGATCCCGGAAGTCTAGTTTATGTGGCATTTCCCCCATTAACAAATACTCTGAGGGCCAAAGAAAGCACATGAGAACTTAGTGTCCAGTGTGTGACCTGGGCTGGATTAAAAGGCCTCTTGTGCCTGTAAGATCAAGTTCTAGGAAAAGCCTCAGTGCACTGTAATTGAGCAACGCTGTGCTTAAGTGTGGGCCACGCTGCACACAAAGGTTTTGTAGGTTTCAGTGAAGTTCACGGCACCCATAGGCAGAGAAATATCGTGTAGGCATACCGTGCCAACACACTTACAGGGAGGGCGTCACACAGCCTTCTCTTTATTTAGACTTTCAAATTGGTTCATATGATTTAAAATTCAGAAATTACAAAAAGAAATGCATGGAAAAGTCCCCACACACCTACAGCCGATGCCACCAAATTCCACAGAAAACCAATGTGTGGTACTTGCTCGTTCTTCCAGAGATACCAGGAAACCCACACATCTGCATGCACCCCACACACCCTTGTTCTTGGGGACACCTTCCATGCATGTCTGAACCCTATGGGTGCTATGATTCGGTTAAACATACACACATATGACAAAGTTTAATTTATAAACAAGATACTTGTTCTTGCAGTAAGTACCTTGAACAACCTCAGCCTGTGTTGTTTCTCCTTTCCTTGCTAAGTAGAGAACTTTCACCTTTTCACATAAAGGAAGCCCTTTATGGTTTCTCTTAGTCATGTCGGAGTTGACAGCATCACCACCCTCACTAGGAAGTAAGTGAAGGGCTACTGACCAAGGCACTGTGGTACCTTGATGGTGCATCTAATAACTGAGATGACTGCTCAGTGACTAACGGGAGGGTAGCACACACAGTGTGGATGTGCTGGACAAAGGAATGATTCATGCCGCTGGGGTGGGGATGTCGAGGCACAGCGTGAGATTTTGTCATGTTGCTCAGAACTGCATGCAATATGAAATTCATGAATTGTTTTCTTTTGGAATTTTCCATTTAATATTTTCATACCATAATGGACAGCAGGAGACCACAGGTAACTGAAACCATGGAAATCAAAACTATGTATGGGGGTGTCTACTATATATGTGTACATGTTTACATATCTTCATTTTATCTACCCAAATGGTAAAATTGTGCTTTTCTATGTTTTGCTTTTTTCCTATTAACAATTTATCTTGGAGATTTTTCCTTATCAGTATATATGAAGCTGCCTCATTCTTTTAGGGGCTGTATAGCATTTTATTGAATGGCATATGATAATTTCTTAGACTGATCTCCCAACTAATGGGCATTTAGGTTATTTCTAGTCTTTTTTTTTTTTTTTTTACATAAAGAAACTTCTTGCAATTGCTTTCAGTGGGGCGGGAAGAGGGTTGAGGACGAGAGACGATGGGGACAGTGTAACTAATGTACAATATAAACCTAATCAGAATTGTCACTGAATCCCCCCCGTATCATGAGTACATCCTAATAAAAACTTTATAAAAATGCTTTAATGATCAATCATTTTGCACATGTAAATTTCTGCAAGTCTGAAGGATCTGCATGCTTATCTTGATGGTCATGTTGACCATCATGGAGGGTTCAAATCTGCTGTCCCACAAGACCTTAGGACACTGCTAGTTTCCCCCAGTCTTTCTCAGTACCGTGTGCTCCAGCTGATCTGCCCTCTGACAAGCCATGGGAACACCAGTGCCGGGTGAATTTGCACGTCTCTAATTATTAAGGTCAAGCCCTTTCATTGCTTTTTCACTCAATTAGCTGCTCAAGTCCTTTTGCCTGTTTTTTTTTTTTTCTGTTGGGTAGAGCTCTTTATATGTAAAGGAAATTAGCCCTTTATAGGGTAGTAAATATTTTCCCTAGGTGTGTCATTTTATTTTAACTTATGATGGTTTTTCCATGCAGAACCTTTTATTTTCTGTGAGCACAAATAAATTTATCTTTCTTCTATGGGCCCTGGATTTTTCTTTCGGTCATATTTAGAAAGACCTTCCTCATTTTGAAGGTATAAAGGAATTGTCCTATGGTGTCTTCATTATTTTAGTTTTTGTTTTCACCTTTCGAGTGTTTGAGTTAGTAAGAATTTCTCTCAATGTGTGATACAAGGTATAGATTTTGCCATTTATGGAACAGAGCGTCGGGAACCTCCACCTCTTACCTCTGCATGTTCTCAGCATCCTCGATGCTCTCGGGCAAAGCCTTCCCTTTGGTCTCTGGTAGCAACAGCACCAACCCTCCAGCCACCAGGCCGATGACGGCTGGGAGACAAACACAGGCCATCACAGTAAGCCTGGGCAGGGCAGGCCCTGTGATTAGAGCTCCCCTTCTTTCTTTCTCTCTCTCTTTTTTTGGGGGGGGATGTTTTCCTATACTTATTTATAGATCCCTTTGCCATCTCCAACTGCCTGATTTTCCATCATAAATATTAGGCTGATTCCAAACACCATTGGATTACTATTCCTTTTAGGGAAATGAAATACTTCACATTTAAAGTCAAGGTTATTCTAGGCTAGAGGACATTGTCACAGTATCCAGAGTTAGAAATAACTCTGAAAAAACCCTAACTGTATGAAAAGGCAGAGCGTAACCCTGCCAATAGAAAGCACTGAGCGATGAAAATAACCCAGAAGCTTGGACCATTACGAGCACATGCATCACTGCACAAAGACCTTCACAAGTGCACCTAGGTCACCTAGCTCAAATTCACACCTTGACTAAATTCCTGTGTTCCTTCTTTTTCTCTCCAGTTACCATCGTTAATGGCAACCACATTAATATTTTTATTTACTTAAATTTCAATAAAAGTTTGTTTTTCCTAAGTTATGCTTTTAAGTTTTTTCCATTTGGCATGCAGGACATAAGGTGCCAGTTCTTCAAGGAACCACTTGGCTCTATTTGCCCTCAAAAATGGCAGAAACCGATGGCACAGAGCATTGCGTGTCAAGCCCAGCACAGAGCCCTTGCGTCTGACTTCAAGTCCCTCTCTGGCCTGAGGGTCTGGTGAAGTCCTGAGGTCCCCTCTGTCCCATGGGACAGGCTTGTTTTGAGGCTAAATCGAGTAATACTTGCCAAGCTCTTAGAATTTTCTAACACCTGATTTAGGGGACGAATTGAGGACAAGGCTCCTGAATATTTAACCTCTCTAGATCTCCTAAGTCAGGCGGTGTTGAACTGTAATGAATGCAAGCAAGAAGTGCAGCCAGCTGGCACCTAAGTCTCTCTTTTATTAATTTTGTTTTGAGACATTCTCACTAAGTAGCCTAAGGTGGCTTTGAATTTGGAATCCTCCTGCCTCAGTCTCTCCGGTGCTAGGATTACAGGTGTGTACCACCAAGCCTTGCTAGCTTCAGACTCTCTGAAGCAAGTAAATTCTGATGAACAACGGATGCATCCAGTTGTCATCCATTTAGCATTTTACATTTGCAAAGACAAGCCTAATTAAGCAGAGTAATTGTTTTCCATTTTCTAGGATGGCCAGGCTTCTTGGACGACGGCTTTATAGGTATTTCAAGCCCACAAATAGCATGCTAGCCCTACATGAAAAGGGAACAGAAGTTAAAGATGAAGTGCTTAGCTATGCTTCCTGCAACTACCAGATTAAAGTTTGTGGAGGAAGAAGCTAAAATGCTTGCAAAGTGAAATTGGGACTGCCTTCAGGTTTTCAATCAATCCTGGAATGCAGTTAGAATCCTGTACCTCCTCCAGGGGAAAGCAGAGCACAGGCAAGGGTCAAATGGTCTCTCTGGGTGTGGACTGCATGGCTTTGGTAAATCGTAGTTAGAGAAACTCAAAGTACCTATTTGCTACCTAGAACTATCAAGCTGACCCCTCAGTTACCCACTGACCACCTAAAGGAGAGGCTGAGGCTGCAAAGTCCAGGGCGTCATCTCTTTAGGGGAAAGGGCTCTGGGAGGAAGGGATTTGGGACACAGCTTCATAGCCACTGGGCAGCCACTCTGCGACCACCCCGTGGTTATCTCAGGATCATGGGCTTGTGTGCTACCACTTCCGGCATGTCATAAGGTACTTGGGAGGTAGAGGAACCTTTCCTCTTTGAGGGAGCTCTAGCAGCAGTTTGGGGCTTTTGCTGGCAGATCTATAGCAGTGGAACCCCTTCCCCCCCAGCAAATCCTTTGAGCAGAAGGGAAGGACGAGTTGGGCGAGTCGGGGGGAGTTGGGTAAGTGTGAGGACAGCAGCCGTGGAGCTTCCCTGTGCACATCCCCTGTGGGGTCGACCCTCTCTGTCCAGCTCATGTCAGGGTGGTGCCCATGGGAGAGGGGCACGCATTTACATCAGCAGCGGACTGAAACCGTGCCCTCAGGTGCTCCCATTCACCTGAGCAGGTGACTGTGTGCAGGTAGATCTAAAATCGCACCCACATCCCAGATGTCTGTGGGAACACAGGAGAGCGTGGGTCCCGCAGTCTACAGCCAGGGAAAAGGCAGTGTGCGGTGAATGAGCAGAGGAGCCCGGGGTCCATGCACCCTGCAGAGTCCACGTACAGCATCCAAGGGATGCTGCTACCTTCTATCCAGCAGGCAGGGAGGGGAGGGGCCGGGAGGGACTGTTGCCTGGACATTCCGACCCACTCCTAGCTCCCCTGGCGGTAGGAGAAGGAGAAATGCCATCTGTCCTGAAGTCTAATTGTCCTAAGTAATGAGAGGAGGGTTAATACCAACACAGGTGACCTATTATGCAGACACATCTGAATTTGGATTTTGTTTTCTCTAGGTTTTGAAAAAAAAATGTTTTGGGGGCACTGAGGTTTGAACTCAGGGCCTCACACTTGCTAGGCAAGCACTCTACTTATTGAGCCACACCCCCATTCCCTGCCCAGCCCTTTGGCTTTTCAGTTTATTTTTCAAATAGGGTCTCAAACTTTTGCTTGGGGCCAGCCTTGGACTGCAGTGGATTCCAGGCCCTGGAATTCATGGGTACGCACCACCATTCTCAGCTCCTTTTTTGAGACAGGGTCTTGTTAACTTCTTTACCCAGGCCTGCCTTGACCCTCCCATCTCTGTCTTCTGCATAGTTGGGGTTATAGGATTGATTGTGCCACTACTCCCAGCCTGGGTTTTGAAATTTTAACAACCTTTGCAAAATTTTAACTACTTATCTTTGAAGTGATGAGGTAAGGTAGCTTTATATTTTACTACATTTAGACCTCGAGGCTAGAAATGTTAGTTCTTTGACAGAGAGTAGAACTGGAGCAGAAAAGAGCAAAGAGCAAAGGGGGGGAGCTGGCAGAGGGGCTCAAGTGGTAGAGCGCCTTCCTAGCAAGCATGAGGCCCTGAGTTCAAACTCCAGTACCACCAAAAAGAGAGAGAGAGTGAGCGAGAAAAAAAGGGCACTGCGGGGAATATCCTTCCATGTCACCTTTTGTTCAGTTTGTACCTCCAAGTGGGAGTTCCTTACCTATTAGTAATGACTAGTAGTGTTACAAAACTAGCATTACTAACCAGCATTTCTAACAATAGTTCTAATTACAAGTAATTAGTAGTTACTAATGGGCATGATGCCTATTTTAAGATGTTCAAAGTCATCTAGATTTCTTACCAAACACGACCAGCGGGAGCTCCAGCCAGACCTCAGTGAGGCGGTAGACCAGGAAGGGCGTGATGATGCCACCAATGTCACACATTGAGGAACAGACGAGGACGCCGAGATTCCTGAACCACAGGAAATGATTTAACTTTTCAACTTAACACAGGCTCTAGACAACTTCTACCCCATCCCCGACACTTCCCCAAGTCATTAAAGGGTCTCACAGCCGAAAAGCATGGCTCATGTGGCTTTCAATGTGCAAAAGTGACAACACCCAATGCCAGTCACAGTCCGTTTTGCAGACTGCGCAGGGAGCAATTTTGACTTTTCCCTCCCCTCCTTGGTCTCCCCATGGCATTTCAAAGGACCTGATCGTGCTGTGCCTGCTGCTCCCTCCCAGCCACCTGGTGACCCTAACTTCTGTCCCACCCCACAGCTCTGGACTTCGTCCAGCCTGCCCGAGCGAGATGCGAGCTGCTGGCGCTGGCGCTGCCTCCCCCACGTGTTCTTTGAGAAGTAGGGTGTCCTCTTCCCCCATGATGGTTCCAATCACCCCTCATACGCACCGAATGAATGTGGGGTACAGTTCAGCACTGACCAGACAGACAATTTCGAAGGCCATGGTGATGCCCATTCTACCCAAGCATGCCGCGGTGATTTTCAGCCAGTGTAGACCTGAGGGCAAGAACACGGCACGTATCCACACCACACATGAACCCTTGTCTCTAAACAGGGCTGCAGAGTGGGCTTTGTGAGGACCAATTCCATCTTCCAAAAACAATGGCAGCACCCTCCACATGCCTGCTGGGTTAATCTTAGAGGAAATTCTAACGTTCTCTCTCTGTTTAAAAAGACTTGATTTTTAATTGTTACTTTTTGAGTCAGGGTCTCACTACATAGCCCAGACTGGCCTCAAACTCATGATCCTCTTGCCTGTCTCCCAAGTGCTGGGGTTACAGGTGGCCACCACCATGCCCGGCAAGACTATTTTTTTTAAGGTAGTTTTAGGTTCACAGAAAAATGAAGAGGAAAGTACACAGACCGCCCCCCATACCCCTTCCTAACATGAGCGTGGCGTCCGTCATTATCACTGCACCTCCCAGAGTTGCCCTTCTGTTGCCCTTCTGTTACAGCTGATGAAGCTACAGTGACTTGTCACAGCCACTGGAAGCCCACGGTCTCCATTAGGGACCACTCTTGGTGGCAAGATTCTAAGATGTGGACAAATGCATAATGACCCGTATGCATCATTGTAGGATCACACAAGTGTGTCTGCTGCCCAAAATCCTCTTCCTACCCCCCACAGGACTCCCTCCAACTTTTGACACCCACTGATCTTTCCCCGTTCTTCACAGTTTTGCCTTTAAGACTCTCCTTAGACTTCAGTTGTTAATGGCAACAAAATTGTGCCAGCTTCTAAAACTGGGACAACTTTATAGAGGTCACCTCAGAGAAACAGCAAAGTGTGGACATATTTTAAAATAAGCATATCCCTGAAGGAGTCAGAAAAGCTCCCCTGAGCTAGAAGGAATCTGTTTCATAAGCTTTCATTGAGAAAGCATTTTATAAACTGGATAATTATTCATTTATTGTAAGCTTTCTCATTTACTCTGTGGGATGATGTAGAAAGGTCAGAGGGGTTGCTGGAAAGTTCTAGAGTGAGACTTTGGCCTTGAACCTGCTCTCCCCAAAGCCTGTGCCCTCTGCTCTAGGCTGGCTGGCTCTGTGGTCTTCATAGCCTCTTGTGTTCTTCCCCACCAGGGCACAACTGCGTGTACGTGCTTGCTGTTGAGGGTAGGTTGGCCAGATGGGCTTGCTCGGGAAGGTCCCCGATATTGCCCCCTGACTTTCCAAAGGAATTTGCATGACAAATCACATGGTCTTCCTATCAAAAGGCCAGGACACCCCCTCTTAAGGCCTTGGAGACAAGAGCAAAGTTTGGGTTAAAACTTACCCTCAGGGATAAAAACTGAAGCTAGACAGACTGCCCCTGCCACCAGATTTGACAGAGCCCAAGGATAACGGCGACCAACTCTGTCTATGGTGAGGATGATGATGATGGCCGATGGGAACTCCATCAGGGCAGAGTAGAAGAAATCTCGGTAGATGTTGTCCCCCACGAGCCCTGTGTGCATGATGAGGCCCTGGTAGAGAACAGAGCTCGTGAACCTGAGCAAAGAGGAGAGCCAAGGTCAACATGAACACCGAACGCACACCGCTGAAAGGAGAGGCTTCTGGGAAAATGGGAGTTGGGAGTAGGTAACCCTGTGACCTTCTCACTGCCATCCTCTCCATCTCATCCCTTTTTACAGTAGCTGGTCCATTTCAGTGGTGACTGACTGTGACCCAAGAACCAAGAACAGGGAAGAAATTAGGACATTTCTTGACCAAGTGGAAACCAAGAAGAATGTCCTAATGGAGTGAATTACTTAATCAAACCATATGAAGTTATTAGTGGTTGTGGATCATTTCTCTTTATGGTCTTCTAAAGCATTTAGGATCAAAAAGATTGACTGTGTAATTCAAATCTCAGGAAATGGAAGACCAAATCTCCCTTCTGGGTGAGTTCTCTTCTGTCTTGAAGAAAATGCTGTTTTGAAAACGTGTCTAGATTTATTGACCCTCAAGAGTAGTTATGTGTACTGAAAAATAGGAGGGTGACCAGAGAGAACACAATTGTTTAGTAAAAGAAAGAAGGCCAACGAGGTCAAAGCTCAAAGTTGCCCAGGATGAGCTGTGTGTCTGCCATTGAGGACAGATTTTCCTGTGCTGGGGTGAGGAGCAGGGCTGAGGGAAGCCCACCTCCAGGGGAGGTTGCTGAGAGCAACCTGGGCATAGCAAGCGCTGATAAGCTCATGGCCTGGACTGTGTGTTGTTTTTGTTCTTAAGTTTATTTATTTTATCCAGTACACAAGAAAAAGGTGAGGTCTTGTCCTTGCCAGCCCTGTATTCTTAAAGAGATCCACACTCAAGTCGTTAACCTATACTGACAGCTCTGTTTTAGCTGTGTGTTAGAATTACCTGGAGAATTAAAACAATAACAAAACACAAAACTATTGGCTATCGGGCTCTAGTTGAGGCCAGTTAAATCAGCTTCTGAAGATGAGGGTCTGGCCTCTGTATGTCATAACTTCCCAGGTGACTCTAAGGTGACGTCAAGGTTGAGACCATCCTGATCTTCACTTACAAACTGTCAACTGACATGAACAATTGAGAAACACGGCTCCCGGAAACCCTGCTACCTGTGAGCCACACGTTGCTGTCTTACAGATGTGAATACTCGGATTGGGTCATGTCTGGCGATGTCCTGGCTCCCTCCCTTAACGTGGGAGACTGTGATTAAATGAGTGTGGCTGGATGTTAAAGTAAAACCAGACAAAAACCTTACCAGTTATACATCAAGATCAGAGTATGTTTTCTTATCTGAGGGGTTCGGAACAAGTCCAGAAATGAGGGATTCAGCTTCTCAACAACTTCCTCATCTGCCCTCAGGCTCTGCAGAGTGAACAGTAAGAAAGGCTTGTCTATTGAGGCTGGCATCCTTGAGTCCTACAGGGAATAGTAACCTTACCTTATTCTTTTTTTTTTTGTGGGACTGGGATTTGAACTCATGGCTTCATGCTTGCAAAGCAGATGCTCTATTACTCGAGCTATTCCTCCAGTCCATTTTTGCTCTGCTTCTTTGGGAGATGGGGTCTCATGAACTATTTGCTCAGGCAGGCCTTGAACTGCAGTCCTCCTGATCTCAGCCTCCCAAGTAGCTAGGATTATAGGCGTGAGCCAACCGCACCTGTCTACCTTATTCTTATTGAGTACCCACTACTGGCCCAATCCTACATAGCATTGAACATTTTGTTTTATTTAATTTTAATAAAAATCCTAGAAGTTAGAATTTATTTTTTCACCCCCTTTTACAGAAAAGGAGCTGGACTACAGAGAAGTTAGGCAACTCATGGCACAGATGTAAAGTGGTATGATTTGTACACACGGCAGGGTATCATAGAGGCCTGTGTCTCTAAGGGTCCCATCAGGACTGCTTTGTGTGCCACCATACCCAGCTTGCTGGTTGAGATGGGGGTCTTGCTAATATTTTTGTTCAGGATGGCCTTCACCTCCCAAGTAGCTGGGATTACAGAAGTGAGCTGCCGTGCCTGGCCCCAATTGACTTTTCAGTGATTTCTGATCCCCTTTGAGTTTGATGTTTACTATCTGTTTAAAGCATTCTCCCATGGAATCATGAAATGTTCTATCACACTTCTCTAGAGGTGGGCCAAGCTTGCAAGCTGGTGGTCCCTTCCTCTGCTCCCTGTTAGGATCCCTAGCTTTCATAGCTCCCCCACTCTCCCTTTTCCCTGTCCCCTGTTTGATACCTGAGGGAGGCCCTGGCTCACCTGGAGAGAGGCTGGCATTGACTTCCCGTTTTTCTTTGCGATGTGCTGAATTACCCTCATGGCTTTCGCACTTCTGTTCTGGGAGAGCAGCCACCTCGGGGACTCGGGTATGCACCTAGGGACAGCGTCAGTGCAGGGGAGCATTTCACAGAGGGATTTCTATCAGGGTCACACCCCTGAAGAGGGGCAAGGATCATGACCTGCAGGGGTGTGGGGTTCTTTCCTCCCCCATCTGACTCAAAGTCGGCCTTGTCTAGAAAGCCTCAGGCTCCCTCTTTAGCGATTTCTAGGTGGTGCTGCAGCAAAGGTGCTGCAAAGCAGGAAGCAGTTGCCCCACACCTGTGCAGGGAGAACAGGCCGGTCCATGGGGCTAGATTTTGTGAAAACCCGGGAACCCACAGAAGGAACTAAGGGTGGAGGTGGGAGTGGGCAGGCCAACATGGGGCAAAACAAGTGTGTGTATATAAATACAATGTATATTATATTATTATGTTACGCATTTTTTTTTTGTCAGTACTGGAGTTTGACCTCAAGGCCTCACGCCTGCTAGGTAGACATTCTATCACTTGAGCCAGTCCATAAGCCCTTTCCTTTTTGTGGTGGGTTTTTTTGAGATAGTACTGTGAAAACTATTTGCCCAGGCTGGCTTTGAACTGTGGTCCTCTTGATCTCTGCCTCCTGAGTAGCTAGGATTATAGCTGTGAGCCACGGCACCTGGCTACATATTATATATTATGCTGAAAGCTGGTTTCCCCACAACTGAGGCAAGCACTTGTGGTCAGGTGATGGGAGTAGGGAAAAGCTGGACTGCATGATTTGAGTTTGATCTAGACTTGGGAGCCCTTGCAAGTCCTTGGGCGGGACTCTAAGTGTCTGGGAGCACTTGAAGCAGCCAGATGGAGGGTGGGTGGGAAAAAGAGGGGAAGCAGAGGAGGGCACAGACAGCGTTGCTCTCACAGACCTCGTGGGGTGAAGGTAGGGAGCTTGGTTGGTGCACTGAGCCACAGCTGGCCCACTGCTCAGGCTATGATGCTGCAGGGCCATTTTTCCAGCTGCCACCTGGTGCCCATGAGCTGTTCCTGCTGCCCAGACTTCAAAACTCCAGGGTCAGCTTGGACCTGTGTTGTCTGAGCTAGGGATGACCAAAGAGGTGGGGATCTTGGGAACCAAGTCCAAGAAGTCAGGAATTCCAGCACCCTACGGGTAGGAAGACTGGGTGCACTTGGAGCTTACCCGACTAGAGAAGCACTGAATGGATAGAAATGAATGTTTGGAGCATTGGGAACACCGGATAAAAACCACAAGAGGGGGAATTCTAGCTCAACCCCACGTCCCCTGCATGGCAGCTTTGGGTGCATTCTACAGTAGAGTGGCTTGTTTAATCGTAACATAAGTGTTATCCATGTCAAGCCAAGATTGGACAGTCATCCTCTGTGGCATTGCAATGGGAATCCTGGCTGAGATAGGAAACTGGACCACAGGGCTCCAATGCCACTCAACCTCAAACAGCTGGCAGCATGCTATTGGTGATTTTTTGAGTTCTGGCCGCATCTTCTTCCTCTTCCAACTCTACTCACTTTCTGTCCCCACAGTGACAACAAGGACATACATGAAGTTTACTTGAGTTCTAGATCCTTACATGTCACTTGTCCTGGATAGCTACAAGTGGTGTTCTTTCAGCACCTCGACGTCAACGTGTCCACAGCTGGACTTACAGCCTTCTCCATCTTTGGTTCTTCCTCTTTTTGAAGGACTGGCCCCCTGACATGTGGGCATGCATGTCTCCCTTGGGCAAATACATTTTATTTGCCTGGGTAATTCTGATTGATTAGTATAGTCTGTTTGGGGTGCCACATTGAACTTGCTTGAGATAATGACTGCTGAAATTGATTGGGGATGGCTGCCTTGGACCTGGGTATGGGGAACTGGTGACATAAGTGACATACTCTGCCTTCTGCATCTTAAAGTTTCCACTGAGGAGGAAGAGCATAGTGACTATAATATTGTGGATCTCTTCGAAGGATCTGCAGTCCAAATTGTACCCTAGCTACTGAGATGAAATTTAAACACCAAATAAAATGAGAAACGCAAGATTCAGGTCAGGAAAGTCTTACACCCAAGTGAAAGGACAATTGATTTCCAGGGAGGAGGGTGTGATTTTTATCTCTGAAACATGGAAGTGGGCTTCCTGTGAAACAGATCTGGAAGGTGAAGGATGTTTATAGGGAAGGATGATTTTTTTTCTTTTTTTATTATATTCATATGTGCATACAATGTTTGGGTCATTTCTCCCCCTTTCCCCCTCCCTCCCTTAGCCCCACCCCCACTCCCTCCCTTACCCCCCCAACTGCTCGCTACCAGGCAGAAACTATTTAAAAAAAACAAATTTAATTACTCTGATGCATCTCCTTTTGGTTCCAAGTAGACTTACCAGTAGTAGAGCAGGAAGCAGAAGTTGGGCAGAGTAACTGTGAATTGCAGCCACCTCCAGTGAGGAAGGGCATACGCCACCCCTGCCAGCACCAGGAGCCCAACCGTAAAGGCAACTTGGTAAAAAATCCCCACTGTTCTTCGGTAGCCTAGCCCGACAAATTCTGTAACTGAGAAGAGAATCTGATGGTCAGTGCATTTCAGCACCACAGTGGACTGCCTTTGAACTATAAGCAACCTGAAATGCCCACCTCAAAAACTCAGCTCCCTGAGCAATTGAAAGTGCTCCCTGGGGGCTTATTTTGTTATAATTATTGCTATTGTATTAATAAACAGAAACCTTATCATCCTACATTAGCTAAAATTAAAGGCCTCGCCACAAGAGCAAAAAATGTTTGATCTATAGAATAATTTGAGGGACTGATGCAATTGTATTTCAGATAACTGCAAATTTTTGACCTAATGACTCAGGACAGAAATAAGTGAATCAAAAATTGAATCTAGACTGTATGTGATTTTTATATACATGGATACCTGCATGGAACTTGCTCTCTTAGAGAGTTAAACATCTTCTTTGCGTTCCCGTGCATTTGTGTGAGTGGTTTAGAAATCCAGCAATGGTCTGGAATCGCTAGTGTTGGCTGGCAAGAATTCATTTTAAAATTTCAGGAATTTTGTGAACAGGTTGTTAAACCCATTGTTATCTTGAGACCGGCCACAAGGGAGTGTTCACATATTGGAAATCAGAAAACTTTATGAATCAGGGCTTTTTCTCCTCCAAGAGTCAATTCACCGTGTACATCACTGCACAACGCACTTTATCCTGAACCATGATTGCGTCAAGGCCAATGCATGAGGTCCACACACGTGGAATAGGGATAAGATGCTAGAGGTGGGTAAGCAGAGGTGGCCTGACAAGGTGTTCATCCAAGACTCAAGGACACTCAGAGGGACTGGGGAAGAAATGAATTGGAGGAGGTTTAGGTTAACTTTTGCTGAAATTTACATGTGTACAATTGAATTCAACATATTTCTACACATTATGTGTTATAAAAACCAAATTATTGGTTGGACATCTGTTAATGCTAATTCCTTCATTGAGCAAACATTGATTACATGCCTACCCTGGCAGGAATAGCGTTAAGTACTGTGTCCTTTTTCTGCCATGAAATCCCCCCAAATTAATGTTCTTAGGTAAAACTGTGTCAGCACCCATATTCTAGCTCTCTCATTTGTCACAAGAGCTTTATTTTGCTATATTAACTTCAAAGTGTCTGTTTCCCTTCGTATAAATGCTATTTGGATGTAACCAAAGAGAAAGTAATGATGAAGTTAATTCTATGATCTAATTATAGGAGTGATTTTCATTAATGTTGCTTTAAAGATGCTATGCTCTTAGAACCTAAATATACTCTTATACTCCATGGACCTTGACTGTAATGAAAAAGGGGTGAATTATATTCTCGGTCTACATTGCTGATCCACCACAATGCCGTTCCCTTGCATGAGTTGAGGATAATTGTAGTTTACAAGGATGGATGGATGCAAAGTGATAAAGTCCTTTATGCATTGTCATTGAATCTTCTATCTGAATGGGCAAGAAAAGTTAGACTTTCCCTCCACATAACAGTCCAGGGTCCACAATACAAAAATTTCAGAAGTTATGTAGGAATCTGATGGCATGGTGTTTACCCTTGTTTTTGTCTTCATGTCTCTGTTTTCATAGAAAGAATGCAGGATGAGTCGATTATAAGGTTTACAAAAGTCTTTTGATACAAAATAAAAGTCTCTCAGCATCATCTTGAAGCTGGGTCCGTGTTTGTGCCCGCCCCCCACCTGACTGTACTGTGGCAGCAAGTCCCTGCGTCCCCTGCCTCAGTCCCAAGCACTCTTACTCAGAATGTAGCCAATCAACCAGCCCGCTTTGCTGACCAGGCCTTGGATCAAGCGAAATATCAGCATCCACGTATAGGATGGGGAAACGGCCATGAGAACCCCAGAGACGGCATTGATAAGGATGTCACGAAGAAGCAAGCTTGCGGCCAAACCTGTTGGAGAAGATTCATAGAAATCTAATCAAAATCAGGGGTTAGCTGTAAATTACAGAGATGTAACCCCCCATCCAGGGCTGAGCACTTCCTCTGTGGCACACCGTGGTGGGTGTTCAGGGAGAGGCTCATCCCCCAAGGCCACCCAGTGCTGAACGCCCTGTGACCTCGCCAGGTCTCACACCATCCCATGAGCTAGGGCCTTTCCACTAAGTTTCAACTGACTGCCCAGCCAAGAAAGTTTTATTTGGAGAAAAACTAAATTTAATGTTTATTTTATATCCTCATCCATTTTCAACAGAGCTTTTGGATTTTGTGGTGTTTGCTTTTCTCCACAGAAACTGTGGTTTCCCATGTTACTCTCCGTAGGACCTCTGCTGGGAGCACCCTGGTAGGTTGGTTTCATTTTTTATTTGAAGGACACAGGTTTCATCAGTTTGGGGACTTGGGGAGTTGTCCCAGTACATAGAATAGAGGAAAGAATAGGCAAACTGGGTGCAATCACGGCCTCACTGCTCGCTGTAATGTTGAGCAAGTTATTCTGTCTAGCTCAGTTCTTCATGTGGGAAAACCGAACCGACCAGCTGAAAAGAGGATTCAGTGAGATGTGACAGGTAAGAGCTCACCCTTGGCCTTCCCTGACTTTCTTCCTTCTGCCTGCAGAGCTGACCCTACGGTTTAGATGTGATTGTTCCCAACGATTCATGTGTTGCAAACTTGGTCCTCAGTGTGGCCTTAAAGGGGGTTGGTGAACCTCTAGGAGGTGGAGCCTGGGGGAGGTTGTTAGGTCACTGGGGGCACCACCCTGAGAAGGGATTAAAGTAGCTCCTGTGGGACCCTGAGTTAGTTCACCAGAAAGTGAATTGTTACAAGAGCAAGCCACATCTGTCTTGTGACGTGATCTACCCCTCTCACACAGGCTCTTGCCATTGTGCTACCTCTGCTGTGAGGTCCTCACCAGACCTGAGCTGGTGCCAGTGCTGGAACTGTGAAATCACTAAATCTCCTGTCTTTCTAGAGCCACTCAGTCTCCACATTCTAGTAACAGAAAATGGACTAACACAGGTGGCTCTCAGAGAGTTTCTTGGGGCTCAGTCACAATTTCATCATGAATTCCTGTAGTGTTCTGAAAGACACCCTAATTCACTGCTGCTTTAAAACTATTTTGTAGAAAACAAAACTTTGTCTAATCTTGGTTTATCCACTTCAGCTAGAATGGGTGTTTATCATTAGAACTGAGAGTTCTAATGGTGGTTGAATATTTATGTATTTTTTTTTTAGTACTAGGATTTGAACTCAGGGCCTCGTGCTGGCTAGGCAGGTGCTCTACCATTTGAGCCACCTTTGTTTCTCTTATTAATTAGTAACCGTGTTCTAGTGACTGTTTAGAAAACTAGCTTTGAAAATAAGTCACAACATCATTGATAATTATTTTAGGATGTTAATATTTTACATCTGAAATTTAAAGTCAAGTGGTCTTGTTAGTAACAAACATGAGCTACTGAATTTAAAACGGTTTTGAGCATGTCATTTCTTCATTCTCCCTCAGGGGTTCCCCATTGTCACATATAACCCCTTGGCTTTTAGTTCAAAACCTTCCAAAGTCATGTCTCACTTAATTTTTAGCCTTTTTTCCTACTCTCTTCATAAACCCTTTCCTCAGAGTTTATTATCTGTAAACGATTGCTCTGGGGAGAATTCCTTAACATCCATAGCTGATTCAGACACAGTAAACACCACAACGAGGCCCCTGAACTTGGATGACACCCTGTGGACTGAAGGGAGAGGAAGTATACATCCCTTGGCACCCCAAGCAAAGAAATCAAATTCCAGCAGAGAGAAGCTTCACTGAGGGATGTGATCTGATGAAAGCTACAACGCCACTTAAAAACTAAGGTGTGGTGAAAAACAAATAGATAAACAGGAGACCCGGGTGGACACCCAGGATGACCAGCTTTGTCAGTCCTTTATCTGCTGCCACTGAGAATGGGACCCAGGAGGATCATTTAGGAGCTGGGTAAGGATGCAGACTCCCGGGTCTACCCAGGCTGACTGTCTCAGAGCCTGACTTATAATAAGATCCCAGGTGACTTACAAGCACATCTGCATCTGGGGAGCTGTGATTTGATTTCGCTGTGCCTCAGTTTCCTCCTCTGTAAATTATGGATAATAAAATCTGCTTTAAAAGGCTGCTGTGGTCCTAAATGAGACATAACAAATAAGGAGCCCAATAAAACGACTTGCACATGGCAGTGAGTGGAGAGGTGGCTGGGAACATTTGACGCCAGCCCACTAGGGCTTTGCCTCTGCTTTGAACTGGTTCCATCAGGACATGTAGGCAGTGGGCACTGAGTCTCAGAAAATCTGCAAGCTAGTTGTTAAGCACAGCCGTTGTTGACATCAAATTCCACACACTAACAATTAAATAAGTCACATTAAAAACAAATGTCACAGACATTCTAGTCCGTATGTGCAGTGGAGAGGTTATGGGATGGTGTGTATCTCCAGCACCACTGTGTCCAGTGAGTTCACTTTGGGGACCACAGAGAACCAGCCATTGAAGAAAAAAAATTGGATAGCTTATTAAAGATTTCTAATTCTCTAACATAAGGCTTTTGCTTTGCAAAGCTGACCCTGGAAAAGTTGACTTGCTATAAGATTTGCAATTTTTTAAAATCTTTTCTTGATGGTGGAGTGGCTCAAGTGGTAGAGCACCAGCCTAGCAAGCACAAGGCTCTCAGTTCAAACCCCAATGCTGAAAAAAACAATCCTTTCCTTTTCTTTCTTCTTTCTTTCTTTCTTTCATTCATTCTTTCTCTCTCTCTCCTCTTCTTTCTCTCTCTCTCCTTCCTTCCTTCTTTCCTTCTCTCTCTCCCTCTCTTCCCTCCCTCCTTCCTGCCTTCCTTCCTTTCTTCCCTCTACTCTTCCTACTTTTCTTTTCAGTATTCTTGTATGTCACTAAAATGGGTTTCCATGAAATTCTTGTCCCTTTGTGTAAAATCTGAAGCTTGTAGGCATTAAGTATGCAAAAGATAAACTTTTTTTTTTTTTGAGCCCTTTGGGGATTGCCTTTCTGCTTTCCCTCTTGCATGCATGCTCAGTAGACCAGAAGTTGGGGCGGTGACCGACAGAACTGCAGACAGCTTAAGAAAAAGACACAGAGCCTGTGCCCAGCCTTGGGGAGCAATAATGAGTAACTGGCTTTCCAGAGATTTCCACCATAGGAGCAGCGTGATGTGGTCATCTGAGGAAGAGGGTAACTGATGGGCTTCTAACTCCGGAGTGTACTGTTGCAGGGAATTGGGACCACCTCCTTCTCCTTGCGTGGGATGAGAGAATTAGCTCATTCCTCCAGCCTGCTGGGTTAGGCCGTTACCTTGTGCTCACTTGCTCCAGTGAGTGGGTGTTAGTGCCTCCACCTTGTGCAGGAGGCAGCTGACAGAGCAAGGAGCTGCCAGGCCAGCCTCCCAGGGAGTGAGGCCGGACCTTGGACCTTACTGTTAATGTGTCTGTCTTGACTTAATGGGCTGCCTCCAAACAACTGCCCTCAGTTCTGCAGTAATAACAAAAACAAATGACCTTCCTCTTCATGGCACAGCCAGGGCCAGGAAGAGCCTTGACAGGGAGGCTGAGCAGATAGTCACCAACACACATGGAGCCACCATGGGGCCAGTGCCGCCACTTCTATCCTTCCTCCTACCTGCTGCCAGGTGGGCCTCAGGCCCTTAGGAAACTTGAACATGCCTGACAATATCATATAACCAGAGAAAACATTTACTTAGGTTTAATATTATAACAGGTCTGGGTTATATTATAGATGTAGTTAGGGAGGATGTGGGAAGGTGAGTGAGCACAAAGTGTATTTATCACTTATTTCAAAGTTAAATGTATAGTTATGTTTCATACATGAACATTTAATTATGTATTTACAGACTGTGTGTAATTATATGTAGTTATGTTTTGCTATCTTATGAGGTGATCGATGAGTCAAGAGAATGATACTTTCTGAAATGTTGGCTCATGAAAAACCCTCTCTACACAGTGGCATTGTGAATATTAGAGAGTTAGCCATGAAGGTAATGTAAAGTTCTCATCAAGCATGAAGCACAGGATTCTATTCCTTTCTCTTAGGATTCTTAGAATGTCTCATGGTCTTCAGCTGAGCAAACATGCCTGTCATCAGGAACTTGCTGTACTGAGTGGGACTCCAAAATGATGGGTGAATAGAGATATGGGGATAGCTTGGTTAGTGTATACACTGAATATGGAGACACAGAGACATGGACTCCTGGAAGAGGCCCTCCTTCTGCTCTCCAGGGACACAGGTATGGTGGAAGTGCCTGCACCTCTCTTGGTATAGAAAGACCCTGCTCCCCTTTCATTAGATTCATACACCCTGAGTTCTACACAACCCCTGGGAATCCTGCCATCCAACAGGCAATGGGTGGATTCCAAGCTGGGTCTGGTGCTAGAGGTCACTGGGTATAAGAGATGGCAGGGAATGGATGGAGCCCACAGGCCCTGGAGGCTCACAGTCATGGGGAGTGGGGGGGGAGGGGACAGGGGATGTGATGAGGCCAAAGAATAACTTGGGAATTACAAAAGAGCTTAAGTCATCTGTAACTCTCCCTTCTGACCCTAAACTGTTTGGACAGACTACAAGAAAAAAGTGCTGTGAGGGTTGAAACATCCTTTAGGACCCCAGAGAATTTGAAGATAAAGATGAGGCCATGATTGTGAAAGCAGCAGAAGCCTGAGATTGTCAAAACAGTCAACATGGAGGCTGGAGGTATGAGTGGTCTGTGTGTTTGGGGGAAAAGGAGGGTGCAAGCAGAGCAGATGTTGTCTGAACCTGTGGGATTATTTAAATTCACCCACAGGTGCTTTACCTACCTGTCTGCTAGGTAGCCAATACCCACAGCACCGACAAAAAACCCCACATTCACTGCCGACTGAAACAGGTCCAGCATCCAGGAGTTGGTACACACCAGGTTAAACTGTCCACATGTGAGACGTGTTCCAAGCCAGGACAGAAAGAAAAAAGCCCATTAGAATCAAATCCCAGTAGCCACATCTCAGCCCAGGGAACTCTTTGAATGTTCCTTGACCAAAGCCAGTGTGGCCAAGTGGCAATAACCCAAGGTTTCCTGACCATGTTAATTTTCTTTACACCACCAGATAATTTGCTCTGAAGTCCAAATGGCAGTGTGCCATTTGGCTGAAGTGCAGGCTCTATCAGCTGAAAGTGAGTAATTACTCTGCTTATAGACAAATCCATTTCCCCCTTTCTAGTGTTAATACACAGAGGCAAACAGAAGTGGGCACTATAGACATGCAGCCAGGAGGAGACTGGGCTGTGACCATCCTTAACTGTCTTTTTTAACAGTGGAGGATTTAGGGTGTCCTGCTAAGGGCCATTTCATTTGCTCTCTTTTGGAATAAGAGTCAAGGTGCTGTTCTAGAAGTCCACTGATCCAGCATCTAGAGCTAACTCAGTTGTCTTTCACTCTGGGGCTGGGTGCAAAATTTTGCTCTGCTCCGGGCCTCAGTTTCCTCATTTCCATGCAATGGGATGAGATTAGCACTCTGTAGAGCCTCTTAGAGTCATGTGACATTAAGTCCATGGAACTATTTCCTTCCCATCCTTCTCCTCTACTAACCATGCATTCATACAGGATTTCCAGGTCACCCGGTCCTTTCAAACTGAGCTGGACAGCAGCTTTCTCTGCATTTGCAGAAGTGACCTCCCCACTCTCTTTGCCTCCAACACATGTCTCCAATTTCCTTTTCTCTTTTTGGAACAAGGCTTCACAAACAGATTTTCTTTTATATGGACACTTTGGGCAAATTAAAGGGAACCCCCCCCCAGCTGTCTGGAGAAAAGCACAGTTCTGATAAGTCGCATTGCTTTCTGGTATCATTTCTATGATGGCACAGTAGTGAGGTGAAATAGGGAGGTTTCCTTCACAAACCAAGGAGGCTGGAAAGAATCCCTCTGAGGCATTCTGATATGCATCTGCTTGTTTCTCATTGCTCACACACGCACAGACTAGAATCATTATTGTGAGAAGTTTTAACTCACTACTTAAATTAGAAGCTGCATGTTTTCACTTGGAAACTCGGATTTTGTAAGCTACCTCAGTCCAAAGAGCATGTCTGAGCAGTTAGAAGAATCAAGACTTTCCTGGTTTCTTCCTTAAGAAAAGCTCCATTATTTGCTTTTGCATTTTGACTCCTGAGCTCACTTACCTCGGTGACAATGGAGGAGCCAGGTGTGTCGTACACCCAGCCATGCTGACAGGGCCCTAGAGGTAGGTGGCTCCTGTTGGCAGCCAGGCTGGCCAGTGGGTCCACACAGTCGAGGGCGCTCTGGTTCCAGTCCACCTCGTACTGCATGCACTGGCGGAGAAAGGCTTCATCCGCAGCCCCCAGGCCCGGCACAGTATAGTTCAGCTCCTCTGCTAGGCTCCAACCGCATCGCTGGCTCAGCTCGGCCACCCCAGGGCTCTGGCAGCGGTGGTCAGGGGTGAAACCCAGAAAGACGATGCCCACGTAGATAGGGGTGAAGGCAGCTGAGAGCAGACATAAGAGGAAAAACATTTGTTTCTGGAAAAAGTGGAATTCTCCTATCTGCTCTAGAATGTCATCCACAGTGGGCATGGTTCCTTGGAAGCAGTGGCCGTGATGCTTCTGCTGCTCAGTCCCAAATGCTGGTAGAGCAGCCTCGGCCAACTCGGTACAACTCTCGACCAAGAGTCAAAGGGTGAGAGTTAGTTTACTTTAGAAAGGGACCAGCCTTCAGGTCGGACTTTTCTTGGGGCGGGCCAACTTCAAACTGTATACCTCTCCAGCAGGGGAAGGTCCTGTTGCCAGCGAAGTGCCCGGGGCAGGCCCCTGGGGTGCAATGTCAAGTTCACTGTAGCATCATTCTATGAGTTTGTCTGCCTCACACCAGCACCACAAACAATCCTTTCTCTGTGTCCCACAGGGAGAAATCTGAGCCCCTTTACGTATCGACATCTGTTAATCTTTCTCCAGCACACCGAGTGTCCACGAAATTAATATATGCTATCTCACCCACACAGCTGACCTTTCCTGCAGGACAGAGGCCACATGTACTCGGCTGCACGTGTCCAGCACAGCGTGCATCGGGATCTTGGGTCAGCACTTTTGTTCAGCTCAAAGTGCTTTCAAAGTCTACTTCTGATCCTTCTACAAATAAGTGTGCTCAGGAGGCACACTGTGGCCGCCCTGAAGTATCCTCCTTCATCCACTTGCGTGCTGGCTGCACATGTAGTTGAAGTGCAAATGCAGGCAGGAGTGTTTTCACACCATGGTCTTTTTTCATGTGCCTGTGGTTTAGGGGTATCTCTTTAGAATGTTGGTGAAGGCATCCAAATGCAAGGGAAAGGGACATTCTGCCTTTCCTGCTGGACAGAAGGATCCTTAGGGCACAGGAGGTGGCTAGCTGATACATCTGCATGATAAAACACCAGAAATTTAATCCAGCTTGCTTGCTTTCTCTTCCCCCCTCCCACTCCTCATCTTTCTCCTCCTCCTCTGTGAAATAGTCAGTTGGTATTTCAGTGACCCATAGCAGACTCTCCTTACAGTAGCTGCAAGCTAGCCACCAGTGAGGACGTCCACCGATACCTCCAATGGCCCAGTCTGCCTCACAGAGGGGCTCTGGTGAGCTCATTGGTCATTTGCTAATTGAGTGGATTTAGAGCAGCTTAGGGACTTCCTCAGCAGTGGCTAGGGTCCTAAGTGAATGAGTCAGAAGCTGAGGCCATGTCTGTCTGCCATCCGGGATTCTGTTATTCACCGGAAGGCTGTGGGAGTGGGTGAGTTAAAAGTGACTTCGTTTGTGAAACCTCACTCCACCCCCAGGGACCAGAGATGACCCTGACCACCTCTCACAACAAACACTTGCACCTGGATTTGACTTATGGACACTGTCCATATCAAGATGCCAGATCTTCATTTTGTGAGCAAGAGGGCTCCAGGTGAGGCGAGGAGAGCATCAGGTGCCAAGAAGTGATGTTGAAATCTATCATGAATTACTTAGAGAAACAATCAGATAAGGCACAGGTAAGACCTCAGATCCCTTACAGCAGCTAGTTCACATAGTCATTTGACACTTTTCATGGAGGCCCTAACCCAGGAGTGAAGCCTACAGTAGAGCAGTTATAAAATCAGGATTAGATGACATCCTTGACTTTAAGGCAAAGCTGCAGGGCAGATCATGTGGGGAAAGGGGTACAGCTTAAGGTGCTTACTCTGTGCTTGCTTTTCAATCTGGCTATCTCTTGTCCTTGTTATTTCATTTTATGGAATGCTTACATATTCAGAAGTGTGACCAGAGGGTAACCTGATCCAATGCTGATCATTTAATTCATATAATCTGGTAATTTATTGTAATTAAAGTCGGAAGTATTTCTCAATCTCTTATCAGTTTCTTTTGTAATGTAAATAAACATTGTCCCCAGGTTTTAATTCTCTGTGTGGCCAGAGGACAGCCAGTCATGCCCAGACTACCTTCCTCCACTCCCCCACACCAGAAGGCAGGACCAGTCAAGGTGGAGAGTTAGAACAGAGGAGTCCTAGCCAAAGGTCAGCCAGGCCTCAGACACTTACAGGATGAAAGGGCACAGCAGTGTGTCCACAGTAATGGAAAGAGAGCATGTGGTCACTTGTTATGCAAGACAGTTCTAACAGTTGAGGTCTGATATCTTGGAGTCAGTGTAACCCCCTTAGCTCAGCTGAGTTGACACAAAGATGGCTGGAGCAGATTGTCTCAGAGATGGAGACTGTGTTGTCACTGAGGTGAAGAGAGATGGCAGCTGGCCAAGCAGGAGGAAGGGAGTCTGCAGTCCAACTAGGCCCCCACATATCCTTGTCACCAGGCAGCTCTGTAACTCCTCTGGCACACTGGTAGTTGTACCTAAGTCAGAGCTGGTGAGTTTGATCACAGGACTACTCAGCAGGTTGGCTTGCCAATCAAACAAGGGGACACTTTTTACTGTCCTTCCTTTCCTCTGTTCTTTTCTTCCTCCCTTCTCCCACCCCACCAACTCCTGTCTCTTCAACTCCCTGTTGCCCATTGACACCCATGCCTGATGGGGTTTGTACTCCCAAACAACAGCAGGTAGTCTGCCTTGACTCAGAACTGTGGAATCATTTCATCATTGGAAATGACTGAGTGCTGGAAAAAATCCTTGTCATAGTGCATCAAGATTCATCTTCCAGAACCTTCCGCATGTTCAGACATCATTTTCCCTTTTGGAGTCAGGTTAAGTTAAAACTCTCCTACATGGAACTGTGGATAGCTGAAGACCACTCCTTTGACCCCAGTATCTTGTCTTGTCCAGAGCCAACACCACTGTTCTTCCTCCCCAAGGGCAGCCTGAGATGGTTTCTCTCTGGCCTCAGTGGGACCAATCAGGGAGGGTCTGCCCCTGCCCTGCAGAACAGGGGTTATCTTCCCAAGCAGGGCTAGGATTCACACCACCTGCAAGTTCCCTGTGTCGTGCACACCTGCTTTAATGGCCATCCTGCGGAAGGATGGCCAAATAGACTACTCCTTGGGTTTCCTTCGCCAATATGATCTTTCACTTTGTTCACTTTTTCCATCAAAATGAGAGCTCTGTGTGGATTTCTTTTGAGCTAGGAGATTTGAATTAGACTAGTGATTTGATGAGTGACCATCGCTGGGAGGAGGAACAGACAGGAACAAGGGTGGCTCGCTGGCTGCTGGCCTCGGATCCCTCTCTCCAGGATCACACCTTCTTTTTCCTGTACTGCTCTCAGCCTCAAACCAAGCCCAGTAGCACTAGAAGTCATGAAAGGACTGGACCCTTCAGCATCACAAAAGGAAAAAGATGTAAGACTAGACTGTGTGTTTTAAGAGATACCACAAGTTCTGGTGTTCTATTAGATAATAGGATGACCACTGTTAACCATACTATATATTATATTTCAAAATAGTCAGAGGACAGGGTTTTGAATGTCTCAGAAACCACAAAGGTAACCCAGCAGATTCACAGGTTTAATTATGAAGAGCTCTAAATAATCATATTTAAAAGACTAGGACAGTTAAGGGCTAGGTTTCCTTCTGTCTGGACAGCATTGGTCTTTCTACATTACTACTCTATGTAAAATTAGGTGCACAGTATTTAGTTTGATGTTAGGCTTCCAAATTAGTGATGGATTCAGGACATGCCACCCTGAGCATTGAAGAAAGCAGAAGTCGGAAGGCCATTCTTGTCTTCCCCTCTTCCTGCTCCCCGGAAGCAGGTCATGGACCTTCATTAGAGAGCTTATACCAGAAGGAAGGGAGCATCCTTCTCTCTGAAGACACAAGGACGTAGACAGGATGTGACACACAGGCCTTGCTGAGTCCCCCAGTGTACTACCAGCAGACTAGACCACTTTGTCAATCACACCGCTGCAATCATCCACTCTTTGACAAACCTAAGCATAGAGATTCCCAAGTTTCCCTGTGTCTTGGGGGAATCTTCATTTCTGAAGGTTCTTGTATCATATAAAACTTATATTAAATATATTTGTATGTGTTTCTCTTGGTAGTCTGTCTTCTGTTACAGGACCTTGACCATGAACCAGGCAGTGGTTGAGGAATTCTTTTCCTTTTCTCTCTGATAGGTCAGATATGGAGCTTAGACAGCTGGACAGGCCCTCGTTCTTCAGAGCTTTTTGATTGGGTAGTGCCAAGACTTCACACAGTTTCATTTGCCAAAGCAAACTCCTTGTTAAAATATGAACACGATTAGAATTTTTCTCAAGCATTTCACCTCTTCAGAACTCCAGGATCCAGTCAACTTCTTCACTGCACTGTTTTCTTTAAAAACAGGGACTCCTATAGGGATAGAAAGACGGTCCTTTACACAGAGCACTATTGGAGAATGACAAAGGCATTCATTACCATCATTCTCAGCTCTCATTTCTTTAAAGTTTGGCTTAGCCACCAATTTCCTTCCTTGGTCAGGGAGGACAAAGAAATCTGATTAGAGAGGAAGACCCATTACATTTTTTATTTGATGAAAATCAACAGGAAAAGCCTGTGGCATCCAGTTGGGCCAGAAAACCAGAAGGTGGTCCTGTCAAAGGAACAAAGAGGCCATCTGAAGATGTTTCCATTAACCAAAATGGGACAATTGGGACATCGAAAAGAATAATAACTGTGACAAATTGAGACACATGAAGTGCATTTTAAAATCTGTGAGTTCATAATGATGTTTTCTAAATGCCATGAAATAATGAGTCAGCATCAGTCTTCAACAGATACTAAGTTCATTAGGTGACAGGCTAATGAGGAATGTCATATTGGGGGGATCAGGCTGACATTATCTGAAGTCACTGGAAGTGCTAGAGTTACAAGTACAAAGGAGGAATAAGTTATAGTGTTCTGTCACACAGCAGATGGCTACTGCTAACCATAATATAGAGTTCAAGAGAGGATTTTCGATAAATGTTTGAGGTGACAGATAGGTCGATTACCCTGATGTGATCCTTATACAATGTATACATGCATTGAGACAGCACATCTTACCCCAAGAATATGTACAATTACTATGAGTCAATTAAAAACATTTTAAAAAGCACGACAACTTGACTGATGGGTACTATGGCTTACCCCAAGA